ATATCCTTTCTGTTTGTTTGAAGAAAGTTCAAAATGGGGTTGTTTATTTACATTGCTTAAGGATTCGTACACGAGTCCTTATTCTTCCGCACAATGAAATTATGGCTGATATATTAGCCGCCGACGAGCAACTTGCTTCTATCCAATGCTGATGGCACTTTTGACTGAGTTCACATAAAATTATCCATTTCTTGGTCTCCTACAGTAGTACTATTACAGTAGCCCAATCGATCATCAATCATCACCATTTTGATATTGTTTTATGCGAACACGCGTACAGTATACAAAAGCCGCATCATCATACATCGTCGTCACTATACTACTAGTAGCGATTTTAAACAACGTTGTTACTACCACTAGTATCCATGGGAAGCATTTCATAGAATTGATCAAAACCATAGGTCGCCCTACTAGTGACCTTGGGGACCCGTTCAGATCGAATCATTCTTCTTGCAATTTGAGTTGAAAAGGCCACCAATCCAAGTTGAAACAAACTGGTAAGGGGAGCATAGGTAATCCACGAAAGTGCCATGACAGTCATGAATGTAAATCCTGAAAAGTAGGCAACTGCACCATTGCTTGCACTGTATACTAAATCGGCAAAGAATGGGAATTGATCTTCAACAACATCCGCAATGACTGACATTGGTTCCACGATGATTTTGAATCCACCAATGATCAAAATGAACGCAAACAGTCTCAACCATCCCTTCCACAAAGTTGCATTTGCATGAGCCCGAGTCATCATTTGCTTGGCACTGCGCCATCCCGGTTCCACCAATAGAATAGTACTGGTTTTGCCTTGTTGTTGCTGTTTTGCTGGCGCCGTTTCAAAGGGTGCAAGACCTCCGCCACTGGTTTGCATGGCCACCACACTGATCACTTGTTCGGGGATTTGTTGAAAAGAAACTCGGGCGTCGCCCACCTCGGGTGAAGTGGGGTCGTCACCAGTGTAGTAATATTGCTTACTAGGACCATCAACATCACCACTATCCTCATCACTGTAGATTCGCAGACTGTTCTTGGTCGATTCGTCAGTAACAGTATTGATGGAAATGGTTCCATCATAGTCTTGGAACCAATTCATTGTCTCCAGGACATTAGCTGACAAGAAATAGTTGCCAAGTTTGGTTGATTCTTGTTCTTCCTCATCGTCATCGTCAGCGTCAGCATAATAAGTACCGGAAGCAAAAGGAAAGGAAGTTGGATTCGAATATTTGTCAGGTTCTTCAAATTCCGTTGAATCAATCAAATCATTTTCCCATGCCTTGTTGTATTCAAAGGTTTCAGAAGAAAGGGCTTCTTCGTCCCATTGATACATCTCCACATAACGCTTCAATTTGACAATGCCGGTCTTGGAAACTCCAAACAAGGGATCTTGCACCTTTCCTGTAGAAGAAACTTTGGCCCATCCATACAAATGAATCAATTTGCCATCATTTTCAGTCTTGATGGGAGAATCCGCATCCACATTGGTGACTGATTTGATGGTATTGCGAAAGATTTTGTGTTGTGTTCGAACGTGGCTTTCGTTGAAGATGAGGACCAAAAGTCCCATGACGAGTAGAATGGGCGCAAAGCAGACCCCGCGAATGTAGGTGTCTGTTTCTTCCCTTCGCGAGTCTACCATTTTGCTTTTATTGGTGTTTTGTTGTTGTGTTGTTGTGTTGTTGTGTTGTTTTGGTTTGATGATGATTTCAGATTGTTGGAGTCAGAATATACCTAAACGAAAAGACGGCAAAAACTCGACGATTCCGATGGATGAAAGAAGACGACAAATTCCCAGTTTCCACTTATTGCAACGCCATCAAAAGCCCGTTTTGAACATCTTGGAAACGAATCTTGTCTTGCAAAACTTAATACCCATCACCCACGGAAAGATTCAATCTTTGAATCTTTTTGATACGACCACAAATCTTTTCCCCTCGCGACCTAATTGCAGACGTGGCAGAAAGATGAGAATCACACACTGTACAGTACACTATTCATTCATTACACCGCCGGTGCGCATTGTCACCACCAGCACTCAACGACTCGAACCATACACCAGTATACTGTACACTGTACCGCATATGAATATGCAGTGCAAGAGAATAGTACAGTGCAACCAAGACAAATCCAAAACAATCATTGTGCGTACAAATGACAGCTTCCTCTCTTTGTTCAGACAAAAGATGAACGGAAATGGTGAGAGATTGCTTAGAGGCCACATCAATGACAACAATCAACTTTCTCGTGAATACTGCATTGTCATGATGAAATAACTAGTGTGGAATTTTCATGGAAGCGATCGATGGGCGGTGGATGCTGGATCGGATGGATGGAGCGAATGATCCAGATTCCTCTTGCTCGGGCGGGCTACGTCGACATCCTGTAGTGCTGATGATGACAACATGAAGTTACTGCTTTCGCATGCTTCATCTACCTTGCGAGTGTGCTCATACAATGATTGTCTCCGCCAGCAACGGAGGTGCGACAGAATCTCGTGGTGAATCATCACTGCGCATCGGTGGTGCGATGATCATCGGGTCTAATATATATATATATATATATATATATATATATGCTAGATGGTGGATGCTGCTGAACCACTGCGTGAATTTTTGTTTGACTCAGCTTTTTATAATTCGTTTGGAATGCACAGTGCTGTACACTGTATCTATTGTGAGAGAAATTAGTACGTCAATGCAGTCTCTTGCTTGCTCCTGTTGGTGCTCGAGAATAGAAATTAGAACGATGATTGTACGGATGCAAGAGGTTGTGCAGAGTGCCGAAGGTCTTCTATCCTTCAGTAATTTACAAAATATTAATGAAACCGAGGATATATATTTTATAATATCGAGGTGTACGGTAATAAAATATTTAGTAGTGGAAAAAATGATATCTTGGTGGATACACGCAGTAGTGCTACCACGTCACAAAAAATCAAGCGATTTGATTTGTGGAAAAAAAATCAAGCGATTTGATTTGTGGAAAACATTGGGCACAAACAACGGCTACTTGATTGTCACATTTTGCGATCGATCGATCACTCAAATATCATTTCCAAAGAATTTCTTTCAGTAACAACATCCATCGTCATCTCTTTCAACAATGACGCGAACAGCATCCAATGCCATCCAAGGAGTCTCAACTCTGATTCTTTTCCTTCAGGCTGCAAGTCCAACTGCAGGGTTGGTGACACCACCACAGCTGGAAACACGAAGAAGCACCCAACTCGGCGCAAAGCTTGGTCCTTCCTTCGATGGAGCCTGGAATCCCAGAAAGATGACAGAAACTGTCTTTGAGAATTTTTCTCAGTCAAAAGAGTCTCTGATGGCCTCTATGGAACACCAAAAGGAAGTACTGGCCGAGTCTATGGACCAACAGAAGGAGCAACTCCAGCAACTGCAGCAGCAACAACAAAAACTAATGGCAGACATCGACCTACCTTTCCACAAGCCTAGTATTCATGCGATGGAAGATAACACTGGGTTCGTCCTCATGGGAGGACACAGGCCTGACATCATCCAAATGACTGTCACATCTCAAGATTCAACAGCCAGCAGCAGTATTGCTAGCACCATGGAATCTTCCGCTGTATCCGAAACAGTACTCCCCCAATTGCTTCAAGAATCCAACGATCTTTTACAAGTGGATAGCAACGCAAATGACGCTATGGAGTTGGTCGCTTCCATTGACAAACAAGTAGATCAGCAAGTGGCTCAGCTCGAAGCCGCCAAGGCAGCCGTCCTTGACGACACCCTTCCTACTGATACTTTCGACAAGGTCGCCACGGATACTGCCCCACTCCAGCATACGGGCGGAGTCGACATGATGACCCCTCAAGACATGATTAACAAGGACGGTATGATCTCTGCCATTGATATCGATACGGAACGAGTCGGTCCCATTTCTACCACTGAAGTTATGCAAGCCTTGCAAGATGTCACGGTGAACGCCAAGCAGCAAATGTCGGACACTGTAGCTGCCAACAAGTTCCACTTTTTGGAAAGCACTGATAACAAAGGTTTTGAAGTCAAGGAAATTGGAGAGGACTCGGTCGACATGTTGCACAAGTTGGGAAATGGCATGGTTGACAGTATGAAATCCGTCTCAAACAACCTATTGCACTTTGTTGAGGAAATGATGAAGGGGTCAAAAGATGGATTTTCCTCCTCGGGGCTGCTCCAGAGCGCCCAAGAATCGATTCAAAAGGTACGTGCTGATGAAAGATGGGTCAGCATATACGCCTTCTCGGGATTCTCACATCGACATCTTTTGCAATGAATTCCCAATATCCATATCCATTCGTCTGTTACGTCCCGCTTCAGATTGTAGACGGTGGAATTGAATCCGTCATGGCTACAGTGAATTCGGTTGGAGATATCACCATCCGCGATATGATCACCAACCTCGTTTCCTTGGTGGCTTTGGTGGTCAAAGTCTTGTTCCAGTTGGTATCGACACTAGTCGCTGCCGCCAGTGGAAAGGGTGTTACAGCATGGGTGGACCAAAGCAATGCTGCCATTCACCAGGGCGCTTTAGCATTGCAAGATCAAGCAGAACACTTCAGTAATGACCTTTCTCATCAAAGTCTAAATGAAATGGTCGCCATGGTCGATTCCTACTTGCATGCATCAACCACCTACATGGCTGACACCGCCACTACTGTTTTAAGTATGGGAGAGATGACTGGAAACCTGGCAGCTCCACTCGTGAGCGCCATCTTTACCGAGGGTACCATCAGCACATGGAATGCACTATCGGACAAGTTCTAGATTTTGAACGTTACATAGCTATAGCATCGTACCAGTTTTCTCTACTGGCCCTACTAGACCTATTTGTTGCGTCAACAGCATTTTCTCTGCCCTGATCAAGAGTACGGTATATTCTTGCCCTGCTGATGGGATGACCGACTGACTTGAATTGAAATCAGATCCTTGTCTTGGTTCATTTCTAACAATACAGGACACGAATGGTGGTACAAACTACAATGATAATCAAGCTTTCGATTTCAAAAAGACCTTTCTCTCTTATTTAAATTCGCTGAATATTGAATTATTACACACAGCCGATGCACGACAAGCGTTCTTGCATATAGTCAAACGAGAAGACATTGACCGGCCCAGCTTCTTGTTCTTCCTCTCCGCACTCGTCGTCTTCTTCTTTTTCTTCTTGCGAATCATCGTCTTCTAACAAATCTTGTGCAGCAGCATCATCATCATCATCATCATCCAATTCTTGCACATCGGATGAGGCTTTATCCTGTGAATCTCGAGACTCGTCAGAAAAGGATTCTTCTACCGGATTTATCGCAGATAAGGCACTCAATAAGGAGCTGTCCAACTCGAATACTGTCGGTTCTACCATTTCCTTTGGCTTGAAGGAAAGAACCGGCAGTGGCATGGAATCGGAAGTAGTATCGAGTGACGTTTTCGAGTGCGTTGCTAAAGAGACTTTCTTTCCTCGAAGTTGATCACGGTATTGTAGTGACTGCTTCAAAGTGCCGCCGTTTTCATCAACATCCATGGACATTGAGAACTGCGCACTGCTTTCCAAATCAGCAAAGCTTCTTCCATCTTGACGCCATCGATCGGACCTAGCTTCCAAGAACTCAGCATCCAAGTCGGACAAGTTTTGCGCACTAGTAGCGTACAAACTCTTTGCTGTGTTTGAGAAGACCATCGTCTCTTGCATCTTTTCGTGATTCGACTGAGTGTCATCGCTCGATTGAGACGAGGAAAGAGACTGCAAGGAAGGGGTTGTGTTATCAACAGTAGACATGATAGGAATTGATCCCTTTTCTGATGAGGTCACTACTCCATGATTCAATGGCATTCGGTCCATAGTATCCAGCGAACTTAACATCTGCTTGGTACTTGTGGTCTTTTGCCGTTTGGTGAACCTTGAAAAGAATGAAGATTTCTTCTTTCGGTTGTTTCGTTGAAGAGCTTTTGTTGAAGAGCTTGAAAAGCTGCCCTTTTCAATTGTTGATCTGTGAACAGCATTCATTTTTGTGTGTTTTACAAGTGTGCAATATTGTAACAAATGTGTCAGTATGGCGTAGTGATGAATGAAACCTTTTGTCGCTATCGTTGCATCCAAAAGAGATCCTGTGGTTTTGTTTTTGTTTTTGTTCGACATGGGATTTTGATGGTAAAATATCGCGTGCCGGATTTCTATTTTTGAACCTGCAAATGCCGTTATTCAATTATGGCTTGCGCGCATCCAGTTGTCACATGGCCGTTTTAACGTTGCTGTTCTTTGACGGTTGATACCGTTACTTTTTGACACTGTATCCTACGTCTTTCACATTTTGCACACATCAAAGAATTTTCTGAAAGATCCTTCTTGGAATCAATCGTCACTCCAACACAATGAGACGCTTTTTAATTCTCGTACTCTACACTCTTCTCCTCTCCCATCCACTAGTGGCTCTAGGGGATGCCACTTCAGACCACGCCCAGCCCCATGCTAGAAGCCTTGCGACGATGCAAGCAAGAGGTGTGGGAAATGGAAATGGAAATCGAGATGACAGTGCGGTTGGACCTAGCGTGCCTACTGGAGCAACTGATGATGAAGAAAATGGCGATGATGCTACCGTTAAAGCGGATGACGACGGAGTTGATGATGATACTATCGTGGCACCAGGATTCTTAACAAGTGCCAGTTCCAACAATGCCGATGACGACACTGGTGAGGACAATACTGTCAAGCCAGGAATAGGGAACAACGATGCTGTTTTGAATGATGATCTCAACAAACAAGGTGACGACGAGTATGACACTGATGATGGCAAGACAATCATCGTTGACGATGACGATGAGGAAGATGGAACTCCAGCTTCACCACCTATTCCAGCTTTTTTTCAATCCCCAGCTTCGCCGACCCCAAACCCAACATCATCTGCATCCTTGACTTCGGCACCAACAGATGAACCAACAGATTCACCATCATCCTCGCCAACCCAAACACCGGTACCGACCGTCGCAGCATCTGATGCTCCATCATCAACGCCTACACAAACGGCTGCACCCACAATTGCAGCATCAGATGCCCCATCGTCCACACCAACACAAACGCCAGTACCCACACTTGCTGCATCAGATTCCCCATCATCCGTACCAACAAAAACGGTTTCACCAACCGCCAAGTCATCGGACTCGCCCTCTTCGACACCAACGACCGCCCCAAGTGATCCTCCTGCTTCCGAGCTGCCTTCCACCTCTCCTACTAGTGATCCGACTAGTGCCCCCACTTATCTATCTACCAACAAGGACAAGGACAACCAAGCACCTCTCGCTGATCTAGTCACACGCTTTCTCAGGCCATTTTCTCTTCGTCTTTCCGTGAAAGAAACTGAAACTGCCACGGATGAAGAGATCCGGGCTGCCGTGAAACTCTCTCTAGAGCAGTTGCTCGAGACCAAGTTGGGTCTGATCTTTAGTGATCTCACTGGCATCGTTTTGGACTATTTTGCCCCCCAAAGCCGAAGCGTCGGTTCTGAATTGTACTCTTTCACTGGCAAGGGGTTCTTCAATTCGACACCAGTCACCGCGCCATCTCACGCAGCTCTCCAAGCAGCCCAAATGAAAGTGCTCTTTGAATTTCTGTTTGAGCTAGAAGAAATGATGAAAGGCAATGGAATTGATGTTGATACGGTTGTAGTTCAGGTTTCAACCGATTCAAAACAAGACGAAGGGGTCAGCGACAAAAGCAGCGGTGAAGGACAGCAGGGTGTCACAATTCCATTTGACGACGACGATGATGAGGATGACGACAGAGAAACAATCTCGCTTGGAGTACAGGATGGTCCAAATAGCTCTTCCAGCGTCTACGTCGTCATTGCCTCTACTCTCACCGTGTCTGTGGGACTGATTGTGCTAGGATTCAAGCGAGGCTTTGGACGCAACGAGCCAGAAGCTGTGAGCAGTACTTCAAGTCGCCAACCTCGTACGAATGTCATGGTGGTTGATGCTGACGAATCGCCAGTATAGAATGGCAAGATTCATATCTTCTCCTAGTTGTTGAGACCTCTATGGTCTTTGTATTTAACAACCTTGTCGGGAAAGTGGCACCTTGCTCGCTACAGTACTACCTCTCCAGCTAAATTACTGCGTGGTTTCGAAATGCCTCTTGCGTGTATACTTAAAAAACACCCAAGCATAAACAAAAAAACTTTTTATAAAATGAATGCATGTACAACTGAAATGCTTATATCTGCGAGCAATCAGTCGTCAAAAGTGAACTACCGTACTTTCCTCAGCATGGCTGAACACTGAACACCCATCGCCCAACCGTTGACTTCCTCCTTTCTCCTTTTCGCCAAAACGCCCAGGATTCAAAGCAAAATGAAACGTGCGGAGAGACGAGAGATCCTCATCATCTCGACCTCTCAATACGACACTTCTAGTTTCTAGTCTTGCATTTTGTGTTGATAGACACAAATACATCCAATCGTAGTACAGTTCGCAGTGCAGCCATGGCCGACATTTCTAGATGGAAAGGCTTTGCTGATCACGAATGGCAAGTGCACAAGTTTGGAGGAACTAGCGTGGCGAATGCACAATGCTTTCAACAAGTTGCTTCCATTGTTGAGGAGAAGGCGGCTAATCCTGATTTACACATTTGTGTAGTCGTGTCTGCGATGGGAGGCAAGCCGAAAGTAACGGATTTGCTTCTGAATTCGGTGGAAGCAGCTTCTCAAAGAGACGAGGCTGGAGTTGAAGAGGCGTTAAGCTTTATTCTGGACAAACATCAAGCTTGTCTGAAGGAATTGTGTCTGTCAGATAAATTGCAAGAGCAAGATGAAAGTGAATTGTTGGGTATCATTCGATCCAACTTGAACGACATTCGAGATATCTTGAAAACAGTATCGCTGATGAAATGGAACGCTAGCAGGATTAAGGAGCTAGTTTCAGGATATGGAGAACTCTGGTCTTCTCAGATTCTGGCTAGATTGTTGCAACGGCGACGTCCACTGACGGATGGTGACGTGGGCCATCACACATACAACTACATGGATGCCCGTCGTATCATTACCATTGATGAAGAGGAGATTAAGGATGGGGCAGTGGTTTGGAGTACTTCTGAAGACAAATTGGCAATCGCGTACAAGGAAGAAACAGAAAAGGCGGTAGCTTTGTCAAGTCCAGAGGGATCAAAGATTCATCTGGTATGCACTGGGTATGTAGCGTCCAATACACATGGCGTGGCAACCACATTGCAACGAGATGGCTCGGATTATTCAGCTGCCATTATGGGCCGTCTCCTTCACGCGACTGAAATCAATATTTGGACCGATGTTAGTGGTGTATTATCTGCCGATCCCAGACGCGTTCCTCATGCCTACCCGGTCCCAGAAGTCTCCTACAATGAAGCCATGGAACTGGCATACTTTGGAGCCAAAGTCATTCATCCAAAGTGAGTCGCTGTGTAGCTGTACCCAAACTATCTGCGGAAAGGTTCTCATCTTTCTCCTTTATTTGTGCCTTTCAGAACCATGCAACCAGCTATTTCGAGCAACCCGCAAATACCAATCTACATCAAAAATACATTTGAAGCCCAGCATCCAGGAACTAGAATTTTCACCACCTCGACCACGCACACAGAACCGGAGAAATGCGTGTGTGGCTTTTCCTCCATTGACAACATGGCACTTATTAATGTTGAGGGATCCGGATTGATTGGAGTTCATGGTGTGGCCAAACGTACGTCGACTTCTCCTTCTTGCGACAAGGTTATATCCAGAAGCTAACTGACCAATTTTGACAAATGCCAGGCTTGTTTGGTACGCTTGAGCAAGTTGGGGTAAATGTGGTTCTTATTTCGCAGGCGAGTTCCGAGCACTCCATCACATTTAGTACGATCGAAGATGATGCAGAAATGGCCAAGGAAGCTATTGCGGAGGAATTTGCAAAGGAACTTGCACAAGAGAAAATCAATAATATTGATGTTACCGTCGGTTGCTCTATCATTGCCGCTGTCGGTGATGGTATGCACTTTGTCAGTGGAGTCAGTGGACGATTCTTTGGTGCATTGGGTGATGCCCAAATCAACATCTTAGCCATTTCACAGGGTTGCTCCGAGCGCAATATTTCTGCTGTGGTGAAACAGAGCGAATCCACTCGAGCATTACGAGCCTTGCACGCCGCCTTTCGTTTGTCGCATACAACAGTTCGTTTGGCCATTATTGGTATGAATGATGTTGGCGAATCCTTACTTCGATTGTTAGAAGTACAAAGGCCCGTGCTTCGCAAGACATTCCAAGTTGATTTGCAAGTGTGTGCGGTAGCCAAGGATGCTATAGACACGGACATTATATTCTTGCAGTCAGATGACAGCAAGGAAGACGGAGAATCCATCACCATGTCGGATGTGAAATCATTGGCCGCCCCTCCGGTAGAATCTTCCATTCAATTCGAAGGAAGATCCTCCAGCAAAGCAATCGAGTCCTCCAAGAGCAAGGACCTAAAGCCATTGATGGATCTCTTGTTACGCGGTGACCATGGCTACCACATGATCTTCGATTGTACCAATTCTGTCAGCGCAAGTGCATTCCACCCAGATTGGTTAAACGCTGGAATACACATCGTGACAGCGAACAATACAGGATTATCAGGTCCATTTGAGCTTCGCGAGGCCATTGACGAAGCCGAACAGCGATTTGGAAAGCGATCGGCGCAGTATCTTCGAGAGGTAGGTTCATCTCGATCGAGATAGTCAGTCAACTTGGCGACAACTTGAGTTTGACCTCACGTTGTTGCATTTGATCTACGTACTTTATAGGTTACGGTAGGGGGTGGATTGCCAATCATTGGAACATTGCGACAATTGTTGAATAGTGGAGATAAGATCCGTCGTGTTGATGGGATCTTTAGTGTGGCCATCTCGTACATTCTTTATCGCATATCACCACCCAAAAGCACCAACAATGAATTTGATAAAGAATTGGCCCAAGGTGTCTTTCAAGGCGATATTGAACTGCCCACAGAGAATGCCTCCCTTGACAAAGCTTGTTCCTTTAGCCAGGCCGTTGAAGAAGCCATTGCGTTGGGCCTTACCGAAACTGATTTACAGCATGATTTGAGCAACGAGTATACCGTTCGTTCATTAATGGTCCTCGCCAAGGAATTAGGACTTGATTGGAGAGTGTCTCTGTCTGAAATCCAAAGCAAGAGTGACATTTTGTCCACCGAAGTGAACGAATCAGCCGATCAAAGATTGTCGAAACGAGTAGAAGAAGCTCGTCAACGTGGATGTGTATTACGACATGTTGGTAGTGTGGATGTTGCCCGGCAGACCATTGACTTGAAATTGATTGAAGTTCCGGAGAATCACACCTTTGCCACGGCTCCTCCCAGTTGTTCGGTAGTTCGCTTCTTTACCAGTCGCTACCAGCCCTATCCCTTGGTCATTACGGGACCTGCTGCCGGTGCCGATTGCACTTCATCCGCCTTGTTGGCCGAAGCGTTGGGTTTGTTGAATACAAAGATTGGTCCCAAAACTGGCACGCTAGCCCGCACCGAATCAAGTGCCTACATGGCGTAGTTGTCGTAGTGGTGATTGCGCACAGAGAAGAAGAGGAAGAGTTTGGATGAAACAATGGTACTGTCGGTGACAAGATCATTTTCGTTTTCATGTTCGGCTCTATATATTATAATTCAATCGCCTCATAGCTATTGCTACCTGGTACTAGTAACATAGTCCTATGTTCGTCTACCCTTTTTTATTGCACGATGAGTGTATTGTATTGTACTTTAATGTGCTGGCTGCATTATACCGGTACTGTAGATTGAATATTAATATCTGCTTTCTTTGCAGATATTGATGACGATTTTTTTCTCAATCCGCATGTTGTCCAAGAAATCAATCACCAAGCCAATCGTAGTCATTTCTGCATACGGTACAGTGTACTGCACTGTAGCATAAGAGTTACATGTTTCCATCATTCCAGTCAGTTATGGTCTCTCTCTCTCTTGTTGATGTTGTTCTTGCAACCATTTTCGATGATATTCCAATCTCAATTGACTATTCTGATGTACTGGCAAAGCACTTTGTGGCAATCCGAGACTCATGAGCTGATACATGCATTCCGTATGACTTCCTGGCAAAGCCCTCAATCGAATCCTTAGAAACTTGGTGACCATCATACTGAATGCTTCCACTACAGCCAACCATGGCGCTTCGTCTAGACAGACAAACATGCCCCTGTGAAGAAAGAGGAAGAAAAAGAAGACGTTGAAGTGGGGAAGAAGAAGATATGGTGAGTACGCACAAAAGGGGATGGAAGGAAAGGAGATGAAACCAGCAATGATCACTAGCCAAGAACTAGCCATCATATCATAAATAGTCAACAAGAAAGCAAGCAACTTACTCGACTCTTAGTGGCATGGATTTGATAACTTGACCAAACCGACGGGACTTTTCATAGTCTGTAGTTAGTTTCAAAAAGTTAAAGAAACATAAACGACAGAACGAGCAATTGTTAGTTGGCCATTCATTCATTGATTCATTCGTTTATTCAATCATATTGTATGCTCCCACAACAAACGATGACACACACAAATCCCCAACAAACAAAATAAGAGAATACCAAAATAATAACGTACCCATACCACCCTCAGGAAATCCACCAATGTTGTAGACAAGATTAATGACTCCCACCTTTTGATTTTCTGGACTTTGTGCCACCTTGTTGTACATGTACCAAGCCATCCGAAGCTATTAATATTATACGGTAGTAATCCAACGAGACACATGTCAGTCCTTTGTTGTTCTGCGAAATGGTGTACAATATAATGCAGTACAGTACAATATATCACAATATATCACACCCAAACAAGAACAAGAACAACAAGAACAACAAGAACACTAAGCCTTCATTACTTACCACATTTTCTCTCCTTCGATAACAACCTGAAATGGCCTTGTAAAAAAAGATGACTAGTCTGCCAGAGAAATCTCTCTTGGACAATACTTGCAGGAATCCTCGTTCCATACAATCCCAATCATCTGGGTCTTCCTGAAGGTCCTGCAATACAATTTCTCGACCCAGCTTTTCATTTCCAAACAATTCTTGCTTGATAGTGAAATGCAAGACCAATCGCTCTGCCGTGAGTTCCGGATCGAATCGTTCGGCTCTAAGAAAGCGAAGTAAAAAGGCTGGATCCAATACAAACTGAGGATATGTATTCATGGCAAACACAAAGGCCGACTTTTGAGAATCGGGAATCTTTTCCACTTGTTCCATAAGAGCGCGAAAAGCTTGCTGAATCATTTCAGGTGACTCTTCTTGTTGCAGGTTGGAAGCGGCCTGATTCCCCGTAAGGTCATTCCACACTTCCGACTGTTGCATGGGAGGCAGTTCGTGATATTCTCTGGCGATCCCTTCGTGAGGAGGACAAAGAAGAATGCACATGGCAGCACAAACCATGTCATCGTTAGGCGGTACCGCACCCATGGAACTAGGAGGCGCCATCATGTTTTGATTTTGCATCATTGCGGATCGTCCTTGATTGGCTGACGACATGGATTGTTGTTGCTGTTGCTGTTGCTGCAATTGTTGCTGCTGTTGCTGTTGCTGCAATTGTTGCTGTTGCTGCTGTTGCTGCAATTGTTGCTGCTCATTGTAATAAGGATAAATGATTCCCTCGTCGTCTTCTACAATCATTCTCTGTCTGTCTTTATTTGTACTTGTACTTGTACTTGTATTTGTATTTGTATCAGGCACTTTGGTGTCACTGTAGACCTGTTTGTTATTATTAATACAATACTGTGCTATGATACTCTACTGTGTAGGTATAATATAATGCTCGTACTGCTACAGTACCGGTAGCTGTGTAAGCTGTTCTAGAGCAGAATAAGCAAGACTTGAATTATTCTTATCTAACAATTGCAACAATTGTAGTGTTATTGTGCTGGTGAGAAGTACCTGGTAAGCGCAATCAATCAATCAATCGATCGCACAGAATCGTCTCGTAACGCAACACCTGCGGGGTTTCAAGAGCCGGTGTGTTTTACATGCACTTTGAAGTTGAACTCTGCCTGATGTTCCCATTCCGTGGCCTTTTGGAACTTCTGCTCGAGCTGGCCTTGTGCAAAGAAAGGGAAAATCCACCAACCAAAAAATAACAGAACAATATACTGTATATAGGAAGAAGGTCGTTGCATTAATTTCATATGCTCGTATACTATATATATATATTACAATTAATATTGAATATATGTATGATATTCTACCGAAAAGTGATTTCGCCTCGCCACCACCAAGTTCTTCCGTCACCATTCCCAATTTTGTGCTCCTCCTCCTCCTTCCTTCGCCATGTATGCATGCATGTCTCATTCGTTCATTCGTTCATTCGTTCATTCGCTCGTCATTCATTCGTGGAAAGACTTGGGTCCGTTGGATCGTTCCTAAATCAGAATCTTTGGTGAGAATAATAAGAGTGAGTGGAGAAATGAAGAAACGATACTCATAC